GTCCACTACTTTTTAATCCGATCCGTCCTGGAAGCACGATACGCTCATTTGCGCTTGCGCATCCAGATATACATCCGGGTCGTCCTCGATTTTATTTAGTTAAAAATACCTAAGTGACGTTTTGCCTCTTCAAAAATAGTAAGCGTACTTAAATATAATGTGTTAAAGGTTAAAAATGTATTTTCTGAGAAAAGAAATGCCTTAAAGTCCTTTCTGGTTTGTCACTCATCTCTTCCAGATCGGAAATGGGATCCTACGCTACTTCCAAAGGCTAACTTTTTCGGCTTTGGATTTAAACATACAGTAAATCTAGTCTTTTTGAGTTTTATGTTTTCGTTTCTTTTTAACCTTATGGTATATAGAGCGTAATCTAAAGAAAGATAGTTTAATCGTATTTTGCCGGACTGCTCTGAGCATGTCCGATGATGACGTCAGAGAAGCAGTTTAACGAAGAAAATTTAAAAATTGTCTCACAAAAGTAAGAAAAAACTTTTTTAAAGATGTGTATTAGCATTCTTGAGTGAGTTAAGGATAGAAATAAGTAATTTTAGTACCATAATTACATTCTTTATGGAAATCTATTCATGCATGCGCAGAACGGATCGTGCTTCCGGGACGGATCGGCTAGTGACACACTAGACATTTACACTCATCTAAAATGACGTAACCACTATACAGTGCCGTATATATTGGTTAGGGCGGACATTCGGACACAGCCTGAAATTAGCAAACATTTTCCTTACCCTTTGTAAGGGAACCTCTGGGTGGCTTTTGAGCAGAGTTGGGAAGTAACGAAGTACAAATACTTCGTTACTGTACTCAAGTAGATTTTTTTGATATTTTTACTTTACTTTACTACTTATTTTTATGGCGACTTTTTACTTCTACTCCTTACATTTTTACACAAATATCTGTACTTTCTACTCCTTACATTTTACAAAAATTGGCTCGTTACTTTAGTTTTGAATCATTTCAATGGAGTTACCGTTATTATTTTTCACGTCATCAATACCAAATTCAATCTAATTGGATGGGAATCTACGGTGCATTTGACGCACCACTACAAGATGAATCGACATATTCGGCGGTATTCATTTGCGGCAAATCATTGCAGCTTGGTGGCGGTGGCGTTAGCATAGTAGCATGGACGACGAGATGATTGAAAATGAACACAACGGAGATCTAGTCCTATTGGCAGACATCCATTTAAAATGTAGGCAACGGCATGAAAAAGTGGTTTCTACTTTTACTTTTATACTTTAAGTAAATTTACAAGCCTGTACATTGTTACTTTTACTTGAGTAAAGAAGTTTAATCAGTACTTCCACTTTTACCAGAGTATTTTTTAACACAAGTATCTGTACTTTTACCCAAGTACGGAAAGTGAATACTTTTGCCATCTCTGCTTTTGAGCCCCTTCACTTTTCTACAAGCTTAAAAGCTTCAATCATATCCCCCTTTATTTTCCTTTTTTTTTGGCCAATAAAACATAATAACAGTATAAAGGTGCTAACAAGCCATTTCTCAGTCCTATCAATAAGCTACAACAATCTGGAAACGCTGAGCTGCAACCTGCTAATACTATTTTGCTAAATCCTTTGGTGTTAACGTTGGCATCATAACCAAGGCAACCAAAGTAAATGTTTATATATTTTGGACCCGTCAACATTTATAAAAATATTAAATATATAAAAAAATATAAAAGTTATAAAAACAAATGTAATTTTTTTTTTTTAAATAAGGATTAATTCCTTTTTTTATGCACCACTCTAGACATTCAATGGATGTATTACTTTTAAAAATTAATTGTTTGATGAAAAAGTTGAAGCAACACCCTTTAACATTATAATTGTATGTGTTGTAGGCGGACAAGCTAATTGTAATTATAATTACGGCAGCCTACTTCATTTTTTGTAAGAAATAAAACATTTAAAAAGAATTAAAAAAAACAAATTCGATTGTAAAGGAAATAATGTTTTTTTGAGTGCAAGGTCAATTCATACTTTTAAAGAAATTAATGTAGTTAGAGCAGTTTTTAGTAAGGTTTAATGTTCTAATTTTATTTTGTCAGTTTCAGACCTCCATACATCCAGCTTCTTTAAAGCTTTTTGTTAAAGTAGAATTGGTGGTGATAAAGGCTGTGATAGAAATGGAAACCATTTTAATAGATGTTAACAGTCAGTAAGTGGCTTTAGTGAAAGAATGTTTTTTTTTTATATTTACCACATTACCATTATACCTTTAATACGATAAAGAAAGAACCTAAACCATTTTTTGGAACTTTCTTGTGTACCTGCAAAGAGAAGGGATGTGTTCTACTTTTTGATCTTTGGACCAAAAGCTTGTAAATGATCCCTGACTGAAAGGAACTGCTAGTGGAAACATTCACTTTGTTAACCGCAGCCCATTTAAACACTTGATCGGACAAAAACGTCTTTCAGTTCATGAAATGCGAGCGCTCTTTCATTCAGAAACTTGATCAGCGCCCTAAAAGTAAAAAAATGTTCCCTAATCTGGAGTTCCAACACAGCTTCTTACACTCCTACAGGAAGTGAGAATGGGTTTATATTGTGGTTTTGCAGAGAAAAATGTATGTTTTGTTGCATTTTTGGCATGTCAGTAGAAATCCATGTTTCTAAAGCCACTAAAGAACCAGTGCAGCTCTTTTTTTCTCCCATCATCATCATCATCATCATCATCAGAATATACGGGATGTGTCCCGTTAATGTTATTGATTCATTGCTATCTCTGCTCAGCAAACTACAGCTCTAAATGGAATATTGATCCTAAGCTCTATTAAAACCTCTATAGGAACATCAGGGTTCTGTTTTTCCCAGACAGAGAAGAAAATAGTGATAAAATTCTGCTGGGATGATTTCTAATCTGTAAATCTGTTTCACGGCACAAGCTTAGGTTGATGCTTGTGGAGTTTGGTTGTTTCGCTGCAGTTAAAAAGTTCTCCTTTCAGGCTTTAAACAGACGGTTCCACTGCAGATAAAAAGCTTCATTCTGCCTGTCGGTTCGTCTTGTTGCTGAATTAAAAGGGACTTTATCTCGGAGAATGGCAGCAGAAACCGATGTCTTTAATGTCACATCTGACCAGAGGGCTAAGGAAAGGTCAGTAAGCCGACAGCCTTAAAAAAAAAACATTTTGAAGTTTAAAAAAAAAAAAAAAAAAACATGCCTGAGGATGCACATATAAATGGTCATATAACTGGCTTTTATTATTTTCTATATTTATATAGAAACAAAAGAATAAATATTTTCAAATAGCTTTGATTCGCATCAGTGACAGTTTGGGTGAAAACTTCTTCCTGTCATGATCTGAACACTTAAAATGCAGTAAATCTGAGGTAGGGATAAGTCTACTCAACACGCACAAAAATTACAGCTATACAAAATGTTTTCAGAGCACAACCGAAAAAGAAATGAATTCTGAATTTTTTTTCTCTATGACGCCCTCATTCTGATATCTCCCTGAGCAACTGCCCATAGGACTGCGGCAAGCCGTTTTAACATAAATTCGGTTTCGTCTGAAACATCCATAATTACGTTCCAGATATCTTAAAAATACATTTTGACTAGACAAAACCACATTTTGACTATCCGGAATGGCAGTTTAAGTTATATGTATTTACATTCTGATTAGGAAGAATAATAATTCGAGATATCTTAAATTACATTTAGACTAGTCAAAATTCCTTTCAAGATATCTCAAATTACGACACCAGATTTGTCATTTAAAGCTTCACACGCTGATTTAACTTTTTCTCCTTTGGATTAGACTGACAGTAAGGAATTTTTTAGGAATGATCCTCCTGGAAGCCCATTAAAAAGATTATTACACATTTTGACTAGTCAGAATGTCAATTTAAGATATCTCTAATGGAAAAGCTGAATAATTCAAGATATCTTTAATTCACTTAGAGATATCTTAAAAAGGAATTTCGAATAGTTGAAATTATAATTCAAGATTTCTTTAAATTTGTTTTGTCTAGTCATTATTTGCTTTTAAGATATCAAAACTGCATAACTCCTATCCTAAAATACATTTGATATCATGAATTATGGTGGCATTTGAGATATCTTTAATTAGAATTATGACTAGCCAAAACTAAAGTCAAGATATCTTGAAATTACTTTATGACTAGTCGTAATTTAATTGTAGATATCTGAAAAGTTGTATTTCAGATAGTCAGTAATTCATTCTAGATATCTTAAAGTGACGTCTCCATACAAGTTAATGGTAAATCTGACGTCATTTCGACTAGTCAGAATGTAATTAGAGATATCTCAAATAGGTATTTTGACTAGTCAAAATATAATTAGAGATATCTTAAATCGCTAAAACGTCTTGTCATAAAACAATTTGAGATATCTTGAATGTAAAGGCATTATAACCGAATTTATGTTAAAAACTGCTTGCCATATTAGGACCCATTCCTTATTACGAAAAAATCTTAAAAAGACACATATATATTTTAACTCCTTATAGATATATAGTTAAAATGTCATTGAGAATAATGTCAAACCAAAAACGAATTGTGAAAGTGTGGAAACCCGGTTAATATTTGGACATTTTGTAATAAAACCATTACACAAAAAAAAAATGTGCATAGGGAGAAAATTTATGAAGATTTATTTATTTTACTTTTTTAAATAAACTTTTCAAAAGTGTAATATGATGGAGAAAAAAAAAACTCACACTATATTGCACCATCATATGAATATGAATCAAATCCTATGTGTGTGTTAGAATGGTCTAGTCTAAGTTTTAGACCTCAAAAACTTAAAAATATAACTGATCTGAACTGTTTTGCTAAGGATTATGGGAAAAAAAAGAAATGTTTTTATGTGGGAAGGTGTGCTGTTACATGAAAAAAGGTGAATTACTGAAACTACTAAATAAATTATCCTTTGATGATTAAAAAATATCACAAGACAAAATAAAAATATTAGAAATATCTTATTTGAACTTTATTTTATTAAATCGTGGACATAACTGACAGACTGAACACAGCTGACCATTTGTAGCAAATGTTAAGGGACAATATCTCACTAATAAATATAAGCATGAAAAAACAAATTGTTTTATTTGGTATAAAATGATTTGATAGCAGCTGAACAGGCAGTAGAATGTGTCAAAATGTAGTTTTTTTTTTTTTCTCTCATTCACAGTTTTCTTTTATATGAATATAAAAAAAGGAACTTCAAGAAGGAAAAATTCACCAGCTTTAAGTTTTATATGCGGACATTTTGGCCCCAATACTCACCCAGCAACATGAATTTTTTTTTTAAACTGCTTTTATGTAGAGCAAATAACTCAAGCTGCCAGAATGAATTTAAAACGAAGTAAAAAAAAAGTATCTAAAACGGCAGCGTGTCCAGGAATAACTTATCTATCACAGCGGGAGGCGGCACCAGGTCCTCCAGCTTTAGGTAGAAAATCCTCTGCAGGCCTTGGATGCACAGAGTGCGAAGTTCGGGCAGTTTCTCCAGAAGTCTGGACAGGTGGTTGGACCAGCGGTCTGCACCTCGTCTGTCTGAACCTGCAGTCTCGTTGTCCTTTAAGCACCTGAGCACATTGCTTTGCAGCTCCTCCACCCTCTTTGGCTCCTTTAGCCCGTGGCGCTCTGAATGTTTCAAAATTAGCATTAGCATCCAACAACAGCACAAGCTTTTTTTTTTAAGCTATTTTTTTAGACTGCAGATAATTAGACTGCAGGTTTAGAAAAATAAAAGTTACAATAATATGATATAAGATATAACATTTTGGACACTCAGAAACTTGATGTAAAATCGAAAAAAGCTACATCTTTGGTTTTGATTTAGCTAAAAGTTGTAGGGATTTATCAAGTACTATGATGTTTAAAAGGCTTAGAAAACCCTCCTAACTAAAAATCTCAATAATTATAAACAGTTATATAAAAATATCACTTTATTATTACATGATTTTGTTTAAGCTAGCTGTTGTTAGCCAAATAGCGTATTAGCTAACCTTTTACCAGGCTAAGAATGGCTGAGTTAATTTAAAAACTACATTTGTACATTTCATCGAATATGTATCCTTACATATTTTTATTTTACTTTGAATTAAAGTATTAAAGTTTTGAAAAGAGACATTTTTAGGCATAAATAATCACTATCATCTTGATTTCTTTGACATCTATCTTAATGAGACATAAAAAAAAATTACATGTGAATTATTTATATTTCACACTTTGTTTTTTTTATATTTTCATATTTAATTTTGCTTTTGTAAGCCTGACTAAAATTTTTTAACACCAAGCAGTTTATACCTTCTTACTGTTTTATAATTTCTTTGCATTATTTACATCCATTAAGTTCACTATTCTTTTATTTAAATTTAATCTCTCATATTAATTCCATTGAATACAATCAACATTTTAAACAGTTATTTTTCTATCTACTTAAACGCAACTAGGCTCCCTTTTTATGAAACAAATCTACTATGAAAATATTTAATACTGGAAACATGAAGTTTTGACTTTAAATCAATCTGTTATCTGTTTTTCTTTTCACTCTCTTATTGAAGTTTGACCCATCTGTTGCTATCAAATTGGTATCTTTTAGCTTATTAATTAGAGTATTTGCACAAGCTTATATTTAAAAGAATTTTTTTCTTTTTAGCTAACCATAGAGAGGTTTTATTCAAGCATTTTTCTGACTTTTAATTTTGTATTTCTTTATTTAAAAAATTAACCCTATTCTCAATCAAAAACATCATTCTTAACCCATCAAGGCCATTTTCAAAGCACTTTGAATCTATTCAACTATAGTTTCTAAATGTTTTATAAATCATTAATCACCCTGCAAATGTTTTATTGGAAGTCGATAACCATTTATAACACTTTATATAGCATATTTTAAGTATAAATATAGAACACAACTTTACTAACTTATTTTCGTTCCTCCAAATCCTTTCTATTATATTTAATGACTCTTAACTATTAAAGAAAACTGACTAAAAGGAAAGGTTTCTGTTTTTAAATTCCAATAAATGACCATCAGAGTGAAGCAGGTGAAAGTACGCAAAGCTCACCGGTGAGTAAAGCCAGAGTGCAGATGCAGGAAAAGGTTGAAACGTCCAGGTTCATCCTCTGCAGATTGGCAGAGAATTCCAGAATGCTGTCGATCCATTCCCCGAAGCCCTGCAGGCACTGTAGTCGATGCCACACCGACCCGTCACAGAAGATCAGTTTTCCCTCTTCGGGATTCGATCTAAAATGACATGAAATCTTGTGGGAAAACAAGCTAAAAGAGTAAGAGTAAATGCAAATGGTACCAGGCTGCTGCAAATACAGAACTTTTCCTAAGCCATGGTCATAACATCAAACGTCGGATAGTCATATGTATCTGACCGGAGGGTTTTTCTGGTCTATTTTACCTGTACGACAGTCGTAAGACAAATAGCTCCAGGAAAGCTGAGTGAAACAGGAGGTCCTGATCCTGTTTAGGTAGGGTGGCAAAACCTGGAATCCTCAACGCCCAACTCCGAATCACCTCCATTGATCTTGTCAAAAGGTCATAGAACTGACGGATGTGCTGAGAATTGTCACCTAGCAGGTTTCCTGGACTCTCCTTGAACTGAAGGTGAGGAGAAACACCAACGACCCCATCTTAAAGTGCATTTGAACGACTATCACTCACATTAAGGCTCATTTGTACGGGAAGACTTACTTTGGAATAGTCGAGACGAGACGTCGGAGGGTTGGACTCTATATGTGCCCTAACGAGGGCACTGAGAAGGGTGCTGCCATGTAAAACAGACTCTGGTAGAGCTCGAGGTTTAGATGGCAGTCGACCTCTTCTGCCTTTAAGTCCGTCCGTCCTCACCACTGCAAGAAAAAAACGCTTTATATGGAACTTTATGTTTCAAATAATGACAGGGATCTCAAACTGTTGAGGGGCCACAGTCCTCCAACCATTAGATGCATCCTCATGCCAGCAAAGCTAATTCAGTGGGTGGCATATATTAGAATAGAAACTTGAGGAAAGGAGACTGTTTTGGCTATACCTTCTTTGACCATTCCAACCGCCAGGCACTTCTGGAAGCGACAGTACTGGCATCGGTTCCTCCTTCGCTTGTCAACAGGGCAGCTTTTCGTAGCCAAACAAACATACTTGGCATTTTTCTGCACCGTTCGCTGTACAGATAGAGGAAGGAAAGGCAAAATAATGAGACACACCCAACGGGCACAAATTCATCCAATCCCATCCATTATAGTCTTCTGACTACCATCAAGTGCTGCAAACTTTTACCAGCTGGATGTCATTCATTTTGGGAAACAGGATTTCTCATTTCTGCACCCAGTTGCACGAACATGAACGTACAAACCGTCTAAATTGCCCCTTGAAACTCATCAGCAGCACCTTTTGCCCCTGTGGGCCACATGAGGCAGTGGAAATAAATTCAACAGGCGGACAGGGGCAGTCTGGGTAAACAACGGGTCGTGGTCATTCATAATTTTGAGAATTGCCTCGGGATTATCTTCCTGGCAGATCAAGAGGGGGGAGGCTTTACAATTCATGGCACGTCGGTAGAGGCTTTCATACGGAATATATCACCTGTCAGGAGATCAACAGATCCTGATTGTGGAATAAAATATCCAATTTTAAATATAGTCAAGAGGAGCACTGGGCATGGGCGGTTCTAGACGGGGGCCAACGGGGGCCAGTGGCCCTGTAGATCATGTCCTGGCCCCTGTACCAAAGACATACTAAAAGAAATTCTAATGATGATATTCGCTGAAACAGACATGGTTACTGATGGATCATGGTCCTTTGGATCTATTTCAATATTTTTTCTTTAAAAAAAATAATTTTTTAAAATTATTTAAAAACAATAAGGTGATAGCTTTAGTGATATTGAGACAGGATCCCAGTTTTTTTTTTAAACAAAAAAAATACTCTAATTTTTACAGCTAAATTTATCAATTTTTCATGAGTTCTAATTCTGATTTTATAGAATACTGTAATTTTAATTTTAATTTAGAAAGATGTAAAATTCCTAAATTATGAACGTATATTGACCTAATATTGCAAATAATAGCTTTATTTGATCTTTTAGACATTTATATAGCGACAATTTTTTGAGTCACATTTTTGCTAAGCTAAGGGATTTTTATTTTGATTTTAACAAAAATCCAAATGAACATTTTCATGCCAAAAATTTGAAATCTAAAATATTTTCAGTCTATATATATATAATTTTAATTAAACCTAATTGAATGGAAATTTCACTTCATGCAGCTATCTTAATGCATTTGAACCTGTTTTATTTTATTTTATTTATTTTTTTCATGCTTTTCTGTGCCCCCATGAAAACACACGGGGCCCCCCGCCCCGGCCGCTTGGAACATTTGGTCTAGAACCGCCACTGCCGCTTAGGGGAATTTCTTTCTTTCTTAGAATAAAGCTTATTATTATAGAAAAATGTGAACATTAGCAGCCTGCAGACCTTGAAGAAGCCCTTGCAGCCCTCACAGGTGCGCACTCCATAATGCTGGCAGGCTGCGTTGTCCCCGCACACCGCACACAGCCCCTCCGCGCTGATGGACCCCCGCCCGGCTCCAGAGGACTGGTATTCCACAAAGTGGTGGTTGTTGGAGAACTGCAGGGAGCGAGGGAATCCCATCCCGAGCTGTTTCCCGGGCTGCTGGTGAGATGCGCCCGCATCCAAGTTCATGGAGACATCGAATTTCACCTGGCATGCAGGGAAGCTCTGGGCACCGTGTTTTAGAGAAAACAGGGAGAATCTGGAAAGGGCGTTTTTGTACAGAGACCCGGAATCCTCCCAGATGTGTCCGTGGGGAGCGTGGAAGCTGTGCGGGGAAGGGGTGCGGTAGTAATACACGGAGCTCTGGGAGGAGAGCAGCTCATCCGGAGGGTGCAGGTGGTTCTGGTAGCGCAGACATCCGTGCGCCTCCTCCACTTTGACGCACGGCAGCTCCGCCTGGACGCTCGGCATCTGGAAGACGCACGGCGGCTTCGCGTCGTAGCCGGAGCCGTAGTTGTCTGGCAGAGGACAGAAACCGGGCCCCGATGAGGCCGCGGAGAGCTCGCTGTTAGTCAGGTCCATGCTGAACTTCACAAACTCCGGCGTGAGGAAGTCGCAGCTGCGTTCTGCGCTCTGTGATGCGGGGCTGGCGCCCTGTGGAGAGGAGCCGCACTGGTTCTGGAGGCACGGCATCACCTCTGAAAACACAAAAGATCTCTTTAAATATTAACTTTTCTTTAACAAAATGCCTAAAAACATGAAAACTGGACTTAATTAGACTAAAAATTAACTTAAATACCAGTTTCCCATTAATAAAAAAGGTGATATCCACTAAAATCACATTTAAAAGATTTAATTTTCTCTACCTTAGAAGTCCAAGATAAAAAGAAATATCCAGTTTAAGTTATGACCGCTCTCTGTTCAGCTCCAGATCTGTGGGAATGACTGCTGACTTTATCCACTCTCCCCTCACAGACTGGACAGCAGCGCCTCAGACAATGTGCTTTTGTTTACGCGCTCCGGAGTCTTGTGCCAAACCCCTTCACGCACAAGTCCACAGATGGTGGCTGAGTGGGTGGGTGGTGCGCACTGTCCACGAGCTGCAATGTGCGTCTCTGTGATGGAGGAGAGGGGTAAAACTTGATGTTAAAAATACATTTTTAGTTGATGACTTATTGTAGGATATTTAACAATTTATTTTTATCGTAATCCACATTGAAAAGTCCATGTTATAGAGTTAAACAAGATGATCATTGCAAACAAAGATCATTTTTCTCCTTTTTTTTTATTTTTTTTAGCTTCCATTGATTGTCTTCCCGTTAAATCAAGAATAGAGTTCAATTTCTACTTCTCTTATAAATATAGTTGTTCCTCACATTCATTAAAAGTAGAATAGGAGGAAGACATATTAAGCCCCTATGTGGAACCAACCAGTTTTAATCCAGTTGTAATCCATGAGGCAGACACCATGTCTACATTTAATACTAAAACTTTCCTTTTAGATAAAAGTTACAGTATAGTTAGATATGCTTAGTTTATCCTGAGTAATGCTGCTATAGGCTTATGCTGCCGGAGGACATAACTTCTTTCTTATTTTGCTAAAGTTTCCTATTACTCTCCAGTTTTGCAGAGTTGTCCAGCCACACTCCTGACTAAACCCAATCTTACTAACTTGAATTTTTAATTACGCCGATTGTTGTTGTTTTTTTTTTTACAGTGCAGGATTTCCCCAAAATAAATACATTTAAAGAAAAGTTTAAACCAATGTGCATGAAATTAAGCCTGACTGCATTGTTTGATAATCAGGATCAGCTGGAATGCATCGACGTCTATTGGTCTAATTTAATTATTTTATTATTATTATTTTTAATTTTTTTGTTAAATTGATGCTATATGAATACACTTAATGTGATTTAATTTAGATAACATATCAATTAGAGTTTCTGCCTTGGACTGCTCAACACAATATGACAGAATAACAAAATACGACTTAATTTTCAAGTTTGATATTCATTGTTTTTCAATCTTGATATACCATTAATAACTTTATTCTTTTATTTATTAATTATTTTGTGGCTATTTTATTTTTCTATTCTATTCCTGTCATGCACAGAGGACAGATGGACCCAGTATTCAAGGAGAGACAGTCAGTAGGAAAGTTCAAAACGTTTATTAAATAAAACAAAAGCGGAGCTGTGGCTCGCGGACACTGCAGGATGGGGAGGGCGGGGCACCGCCCAATCACAGACACTCTGAAGTGGGAGAAACACAGGTAAGTGACCACGATCATCTAACAGAAGATGATCCGAGTTTGTCACTTACCTGGTTTAACAGTCCAGACCAAGAATGTCCCCAAGTGCTGCAGTCCAAGAGGTCATGCTGGAAGCCGATCCTGGTCAGGGATCCAGAACAGACGGAACAGGCAGAATCCAGATCAGGCAGGACCAGAAACAGGTGGCAGGATCCAGACTTCCAGGCATCCACAGGCTCCCAGGAGGGTTCAGAGTCTGACTGGGGTCAGAAGCATGACCAGGTGGTCAGGCACAGGAGCAGACAGGATCAGGTGCAGA